TTTAACGGTTGTTTCCTTGAGTACTAATGAGGTTGAATGCTTTTCCATATACTCACTAGTGGATCATTTGTTCTTCAGAACGTATTCTTTGACTATTTTTCATTTGATATTTAGTATTTGTATGAAAATAGACTTTGATGTATCATATTGAATGCAAAAAAATTCAGATCTACTTTCTATTTCATTAATTTTGATATAGGTAGTTTTATTTTCATGGTTACAATTGTCAGACATCTTCCTTGGAATTTCTTCTATTAGTCATTGTGTCAGAAGTACGTATAATCCTTCCACAAATGCATGTCAATGATTGATCTCATATATCTTTATTTGTACATTCCATCATATTTTTATTGCAGTAATACTTCTCGGATTTCTATCTATATCTTATAGGACACATTTGACTTGAAGAGGGTAGGCAACTATCTCAATAATTGTTAAACAATTCCTCATGTTTTTTAAAATCTATTTGGGGTTCTCATTTTATTACACAGTAATTTTAATTCCATGTTTTATGTACATCCATGGATTCCTATTCCCATCGTGTCAACTTTTCCTGCAATGAAAATAGTTACTAATTTTTTTCTCATCAAACTTAATGGGAGAGGACAGGAATTGTGTTTGTCCCTCTAATGGCTAAAACGTTGCTTGGCATACAGCTGGCATGTTATTTGTTGAATGAAAACATAAATAAAATGAATGTTCCTGAATTCCTATATTTTCACACTAATTTGAATGTCAATTTCAGAGGCATTTCTGTACTGTTAAATGTTCCATAATCATATATTTTATCATTATTGCAAAACTTCTCATTAGTATTCATATTTAGAATTTTCTTTATGATGCATAACTTTTATTTCAAATGAACTTCAAAAATTTTAAAAGGCTCTAAAATTGCTCCCACAAGAATTTTTTACTTGAATTATATTAAAAATGTGAATTAATATTTGGAGGAATTGATATGTACATTATAAATGCTTCCTCCTTCTCTATTAATCTTTATGGATTTTTATAATTTTATTTCCAGGATTATTCATAAGTATTTTATTGAATTTTGTTGTCACTGCTATAGTGATTCAAGTTATTACTGTGACAGTTGAGATTTATACTTACTTATTTTTCTAAAAATTACTTTCTCTCTATTGCTCCTATACAGAAAAGTTATTGTGGCAACTTTACCTTGCTTTCTGGGAGTTCGCTGGGATGATTCCATTAATTGCAATAAAAACTTTGATAGATTTTCAGCTTTGCTTGAGACAGTCTTGTGCACCAGTCACTGCCAGCTAAGTTCTTTTTTGCCTTTATATAAGAGTTGGGAGTTAGGCAACAACCACAGGTCCTTAAACATTTGCTTTTGGAGATTGGATTGAACGTTTACAGCTATTTTAGAGCTTTTAGCTTTTATTAACTCAGTGTGAATGTTCTGTGAAGCAGATATTTAAATACTGTCCCTTCTAGGGGACACATGTGTGGGTTTCTCAGGACTTACCAGGACCTCTGTGTAGTGCACTCTCTGACTTACACACTGCACTGCCTCTATAATCTCTAGATGTGACACCTGTTGACTGCAGCCTTATCCATGGCATATCAGATCTCTCACCGAGGAAGTCCTTGTGCTAGAGTCACCCACCCTGTCTCAGGTCAACACAAGACATCTCAGGCCAAGATTTCTTCCATGGAGCAACATGGAAAAGGCAAACAGTCACTGTCGCGTTACATTCCCATCACAGTGCTCCAGGGTAGAAGGAGGGACTCAGTGTGATGATCCTACGATTTAGGACCACAAAGGAGGTGCCTAGAGAGACCATGGAATGTCCCAACCTTTGTAATATGAACTGGGAGCCCAAAGCAGGCAACCCCAAAGCTTTTTTGTGCCACATTTTCTAATCCTCAACAATCATACTCAGTTTGACAATATGAAGTTGTTCAATGCAGAATTTTGTACATTTTGTTTTTAGAAAAGACTCATGTCCTAATTTATCAAAGCATACCATTTGATCATTTATTTTGAAGGTAATGATATATATGTTAAATGAGGCTTTTTGTTTACATTTACTCGGTGAGATATTTATTAAAGATGATGGAACACTTCAGTGGGTTTGAGTAAACAGTAGTTCTTGCTGAACGATGGAAGCTGAAAAGTGATGGATAGCACTGTGATGGGGACAGCACAAGTCTGAAGAGCTCAGACTCGTGTAGCACAGTTGAGCTTTTGGCATCATAACCCTTTGTTTCTTGGACTGGCACAGTTATCCTGTTTACATTCAATGTATTTAATTATCACCCCTGAATTACCCTTTCTTCCCCTGCTTTACTTGCCTTTTATAAAATTTCTCAAGGAATTACCTAGTAACTATGGACCCTGTTCTCTAAGCAGCCTCATGGTGTTCTTAGGGTGGACTCCATCTTTGCAGATGTAAAGACCCCTCAGTCTGTCAGGATGCGCAATGTGCTCTGGTGGTAAGATGAGCTCTTCCGTGCTCTGTGCAAAGAACAGGACCTGATACGGGGCTTCTGTGGATTTGAAAAGATAAAAAATAAATCAGGGTTTTGTTCAAATTCTAGGATAAAGCTACTATCACAGACACCTAATGATCATGTCTAGTTAGACAAAGATGTCCTTTGCAAAGTCTTCCTAAATTAAAGCTTGGAAAAGAAAATCTAGGACTTTTCTTTGTAATTAATGTTTCTGTTTTGTGTTTGGCAATCAACAGATGTCGTACATTTTCTTCAGTTTCAATTGAGTGACTTTCTCTTACTCTGAAACTTTTCAAACTCTATCTTAAAAGTATGTGTGGATCTTTCAGACTCCAGCAATGAGGCATTTTAAGAAAAACAGAAGTATTATTTTTCTTTCCCCAAATTAAATTAGGCTTACTCTGATTTAAGGATTACCCAGTGTAATATAGTTGCAAATTCTGTACATATTTCAGGTAATAATGGTACCTGCCTCCTGCAGTGGTGTGATGAAGGTCCCAAGCATACCCCCAGGTTTCAGGATTGGCTACAGGAATTTCCCCAGACTCAGAAAGCTGCATAATTCTAACCATATTTTATTACTGTGAAAGCATGAGGATTAAAATCAGAAAGGGTAAAAGGGTCATGAAACAAACTTCCACATCTCCCACCCAGTGGTGTCATTTAGAGGCAGGCTGAAAGTGCCCAGGTAAAATGTGTGACATGTGACATGTCGGACATGAGCAAAGCTTAGCCAGGTTTTGGGATCCAACTTCACTTTAGGGTTAGTCCCGTAAGCACGTAGCCCAGAAGAACTTGCCTTAGCCACTGGGACTCCAGCATCTCTTCCCTTCAAGCAGAAGCAAATATTCACTATAAATATTGTAGGATAAATATTATAGGGTAAGTATTGTAGAGTAACGTTTTCTGGTCAGAGTGGAACAGCACTGTCCAAGGCTTCATATATACAAAATAATATTATTAAAAAAAAAAACCTCTTAACATATAGAGATTCGATAGCCCAAAGCTTATCTCTCAGGGAAAATAAAAAACCCATCTTGGTCAGAGATGGGTATTCCATTGCCATTAATATATTGTAGGTGTATGAATTCAGCAAAGTAATCCAATGTAGTCCAGTAGTCTATAATAGTAGTGGGTTATCTGCAGGGCTGGCAATGTCAGAAGTTGTTGACTTGAGCCATTTACAGCTCAGCATATTAATATGGCTTAACTTTTTATACCTCATTTTTATACTTTTCTGTTGGATGGTTAAGACCAAGATAAAGCAAGACTTATATAATAAAAAATGTAACTTTTATATTTGACAAATTCAGTCAAATCCCCTCAGGATTTACCCTGAAACCCTGTATAGCAGTTTGCAGATCTCATTGTCAACCATGTAGATGAGTTACAGACATTGATTAATGAATTTGCTGTCTGTGAAAGCCTGAGAGAATATTTTCTCTCCATGTGACTCTCCTTAGGCACACTCTGCATCATTGATCACTTTCCTCTGTGGCCCCATAATCTCCTTGATCAGAAAGTTTGGGACATCACTGAGTTATAGGATGTTACAGTAGAGGTTCTCTTATGTCCTGAGTCCTCACTGAC